CGTCAGAATTGTGGTTTTAATATGGGGTTAGAAATTAATGGAAAAAATTATTAGGTCCAAAAATTTTTTCATCAGACAAAAAAGAAACATCCCTAATTTTTTTCAAAAAATTAATTGATTATTTCATTCAATTGACGTAGGTTACGCAAATATATATTCACTCTCGTAAGTTATGCCAAATAAATTTAAACATAAACTAGTTCAAATTTGTTATTCGTCCATCGTATATTTTTCCACTACCAATTCCGCCTCACTAGTTTGGTGACGGACTTTTTAGACCAATAGAATTTCAACAGTATGTTATTAATTTCATTCTTTTTTCCATTTCCCCAAAAATATGTAAAATTTCTTAAATCTACGATATTATTTAGAACAAATGCAGTAATTACTACAGTTCACTTATGCATTAATCTGTTTTTAAAATTTAGAAATAATGATTATTAATTATTCAATTATGATTGATATGTATGTTCAGTAGTGCACAACATAATGATTTTTAACAGTGATTTTTGACAGTAATCAATATATCAGACCGATAATATACTAATCAAAAATGGCAAAAACCTTATCACGTTTTAACCCAAACAGTCTAAAAATTAAGGATCTTTTGAAGATTTACATTAATCCAAAACATTTGGATGAGAATTTCTAGGTGTGTTTGCCAGTGCTCCTCATGTTTAGTAATTTTTGACAGTAATCAATATCTTACATTGATAACACACTAAACAAAATTGGCAAAACTTAAAAATTGTCATCCAAGTGTTCGGATTGGTGTGAATTTTTGAAAAATCTTTGATTATCAGGCTTAGGCTTAGATTTAGGCTTGCTTAATATTTGGTAAGGTTTTGGCCAATTCTGATCAATGTATTATCGATCTGATGTATTGATTACTGCCAAAAATCACTGATTATCTTGCGCACACGCGAACACACAAAAAATTCTCATCCAAGTGTTCTGTATTAATGTAAATTTTTTAAAAATCCTTAATTTTTGGGCAATTTTGGCGAAAATACGATAAGATTTTGCCAATTTTGGTCAGTGTTTTATCCATCTGACAAATTGATTGTTGCCAAAAATTACTGATCATTTTGTGCACTAACGAATACACGTAAAAATTCTCATCCAAGTGTTTCTCATTAGTGTTTCGTATTAATGTAAATTTTGAAAAAATCCTTAATTTTTAAGTTATTTTAGTTCAAATTTTTTTCCGTCTCTGATCAATGTGTTATCGGTTTGATATATTGATTACTATCAGGAACCACTGGTCAAAAATGGTAAGAAACTTATCAAATTTTAGCCAAAATAACCTTAAAATTAAGCATTTTTGAAAAAATTCACATTAATACAGAATAAATGGATGAGAATTTTGATGTCTGTTCGTTTTGCGCAACACGATCCGTGATTTTTGACAGTAATTAATAAATCAGATCGATAACACAATGATCCAAATTGGCGAAAACCTTGTCAAATTTCGATCAAAATAACCTAAAAATTAAGATTGTTTAGAGATTCACATTAATCCAAAATACTTGAATGAAATTTTTTTGGTGTTTTCGTTAGTGTGTGCAACATGATCAGTGATTTTTGACAGTAATCAATACACCAGATTGATAACATATAAGTCTGTAGAACTTGTATAATATCAAATAATATTTCTGAGCTTCTATTTACATTCTTTTCTTTTTCATCATCGCTCGATTATGCGAATAAAAGCTTTCTCCTTTTGTTTTTTTTTTTTTTCATTTCATTTTTCCAACCAAATATGTATTTGTCTAATTGGCAAGAAAAAAAAGTAAATCACATGTGAACTTCTACTCTCGTTAATTTTCAGAAGTAAACTTCCATTTTCTTTCAAGCTATTTCATTTAGTGAAAGTATTCGTTGTTGTATTGCTACTCTTTACCAATTAAACGTTTATTGAAAGAATAATTTGTGAAATTTATTGCATTTTAAGCTTTAGTTTTAAGCCTTTTTGAAACGAAATATACAAAAGAATTGAAATGGATGATCACAGTCAATTGTTACTTCGGTAAATTAATAAGACTTCTTGTATAGAAATTTCTAATAATTTGTATCATTTTTATTCCATTATCTATTTGATTTTTTATTTAATTTCATTTGAACCTTTTCCAGAAACACTTTTTCTAGCATTTTCATCCTCTCCCTTTTTAGTCTCTTGTTTGTCAGTTTGCTTTTCCGGTTTCTCCAATTTTATACTAGCCAATTGCTCTTCCATTTTCTCCTGCTTTTTACTAGCCTTTTGTTGTTCCGGTTTGTCTGATTTTTGATTAATTTGTTGCGACTTTTTCTTTTCTGATTCTTTTCCATTCTCTTTCTTCGATTCCTTCAATTCCATCTCTTCAACAGTACTATATTTGGGCGCTTCTTTCAGTGCTGCAGTGCCAGCGTTAATCTCAGCATCACATTTGGTAAGTGCTGCAAGGAATTCATCTTTTGCTTTTCGTTCGAACTGATACTGAAAACAATCATTGGAGAAATTCTGAGTGTTGAAGCTGAACGAACTTAAAAAATTATTATAAACTATACGGAATAGATGACTAATGAGATTTTATTGAAGAAGAAAAAAACTCTTTCAATCACCGTTTGTCATCGAAATATCCACTAGGAAATTAGCCTATCAGATAAAACTGTGATAATCAAAAACCAATTATTCTCTTCTCAGCTTTAATCGATGACAGGATTAGTGGGTTTTATCGTTGCAATAAATAATGAACAGATAAGTATGTTTACTTCACGCTTCAACTCTTTGATACATTTCGCAAAGTCGCCAAAAAAAAAGTAGTACTGCTCATCACAATCACAGTTCAATGAATCTTTTGATGTCGAGGAAAAAATGGCTCGATTTGTTGAACACATTGAAATGTTTCAATATGAAAGAAGAAACTTGCATTTTTTAGCATCAACACTTTAAGACATTGCATGTGATGTCTGTGTACTGCTTTGTAACGCATCACCTTAAAATTGATAGGACATTTTAGAATTGATAAAATAAACATGTTTTGATTTTAACAAACGCATAGTTAGAAGGAAGAGAAACAAATTGACCTCATTCTCAACTCGTTCAAAGAATGACTGATGCTTATTTTTGGCTTCTTCTGCTCTCCTAAGACGTTCCGGTGTTTTTCGCGCTTCTACACTTGCCATACTTCGATCCATTTTATCTTTCAAATAATAGCACTTTTTAATATCCTAAAAAGTAGTAGCATATCTCTTATATCACAGTAAAAAAGAAAAAACAATTTTGTAGATTTAATAATTTTTGTCGTTACCATTTCCATTAATTTTAATCATTCAATACTTTTTACTTACAATGATTTTTTACTACTCAGAGTTTATGGGCTTTTTGCGGATCGTTGAAGATTGTTTTTAATCGCTCCAATCCTATGACTTAGATGAACAATAACTCTACCTAGAATTTCATATTTGATTCGGTTCATGGTCAGCAGATGAATATATATAAATGTATGATATTAGATGTTCACTCCTAAAACTATTGATTTCTTCAAGTGCCAACTTGTAAGGTTGAGATTGTAACAAATTTAAGAGCGCATAAAAATTTTCGAAGTTTACTCTCAAACTCTAAATGAGAGTAACTTTTGCCGAATTAAGTGACAAGTGACCTTCATAAGTCGTGGATAATCTTCCAGAATCCAACTTTTCATTGGTGTAACCACTCGTTGGAATACTTCCATTTGCGCTTCACGTTCTTGTTTTGCAACCGAAATGCAAACATTTGCTGTTGCTTGAAGTGCTTCATAGAAAGTGCCAGAAACAAAATATGGCATGTACTGCAAAAGATTTATAATTTTTTTTTTAATGTTATTTCCGAATAAGAAAATTTTAATCTAATTAACTCTTATGAGCGTCAATATTTAATCATTTGATGACGAAATTGGTTTGTTTCATTTGCTTCAGGTTTTTACTATAATTATACAATGTATTTTGGATAGATTAACTTCCATGACATATTTCAAGTCAATATTTCTTATTTTGCAAGTATTACGACACTAATACGGCAAGTACTACGACAGTCTTGATAGATTCAGCAAGAAATCTATTTCCTCTCATTCGGCCTATTCTACCTCCATTTCTGAAAATTAAAAGAAACTCCTAAAATCCTTTAAGAATTTTTTGCATCAAATTACACCGACTTGAGTTGTTTTTTTTCTTTTTTTTGTTTGTTTGTTTGTTCCTTCTTAATGCTTGCCTGTATAAGATATAGCGATCGGTTTCAATCTGACGGACACAAAGATAAACAAACTAACCTTTTGCGCCACATAAGCCAGTCGCTCTAAATCATTTGGCTTGGAGTGCTTTCGTGCTGGAAGATTAATTGACTTTTCAATTGCCGCCACAACGTCTACAGTATATTCTTGTGTTATCTGAAGGATGATTAAGGGATGATGAATATGTTTTGGGTAATTTTATAACGAATTTAAGCTTGGGCCATAATAACGCTTCCAATCTGATCCGATCATATGAAAACATACGAAGAGGTCAGCAAATATACAAATTATTGAGCTAACCTTTATGAAGCCAATTGCTTTCGTGAAATTATCTGGATAAGCGGAGAGTTTCTTAATTTCAGTCAAAGTTTTCGGCATTACTAAAAATAGATATTAAGCTTGCACAAAGCCTTCTGAAGACTTTTATAAAGTTGAACAGAATAAACTGAAACATTTCGAATAAATTATTCACTTATAATTCGTGTGTCATATGCAACCGTTTCGGAAATAATACGACAATGAAATGATATCAGTTTCCGGGTTATTGCATGTTTATCCTCAAAAACAAATGCATTTTTTGTTTACTATTTTCATCTAGCCGGGAATTTAAATTGAACATGTCCTGACCATCCATGGAAAGTTAATAATCAATAAAGTATACTTGGAATGCGTAATGTGATATGAATATAATAATATATATTAAGTGATATTTCACGTGAAAATATTCAATAATCTTTTTTTCAAGAATATAAGAGTTGCACATATTTTGAGATATTTTTAGTGATAATGTTAGTTAAAAAAAACAACAATAAATACATTCATATATTTCCAGTAACGATCACCATATCATTTGTTAATAATCACTTTCAACTTTTGGCAAATGAAAAAATTAGACCAAAAATTGGAAATTGAAATTTTTAAGGCATTTCAATTATTTCCAAGCTAATAAAAACATAGTTTTATTAAATTATGGAAGATAAGAAATAATTTGCATAATTTCAATGTAAATTAAGTTGGATGATCTCAGGAAGTTGAATCATAACATCTATCTATTCCATCTTTATCAATTTTT